AACTGTTAACATCTACTTATCTCAGTGGTTTTTGCTTGTTAAACAAATCTGTTAAGACACACGATTTATACTTTGATATATTAACAATGTAACTTTAACGGATATAGCGATGAAAGTCGCAGGGGAAAATGTGAACGTGCCCGCTTTCTTCACACCTTTAAGAATGCACTTTGTCACAGAAAAATCGTTCACATTTTAAAAAATAAATAAAAGCTTTGAAAGAGCAACCAGGGCGCTTTTCAAGAGTTTAAGAAAACCAAAAACCTCCGAAGAATAACATTTGTGCAATATTTTCTACAAATGTATATTTCACCGCAAAACACAGTCAAAAAGTGTCCCACCAATTCAGACGTTTTATACTACGAAGACCTGCTAAATGACTGCGATAAGACACAAAACTTATTATAATTGTTCTTCACAGTCACAGATCAAAGATAGGTTTTGAATGATTGCATGTAAATAATAATAGGTTAGGTTTGGATTATTCGAATGAAATTTATTACAATTCGAACGACTGTTACCACTGTGTACAATACAGGCTAGCCTACCTCCAATCAACCACTGCAAATAGTTGACTAAGAGTTACCTCCTTAGGAAAAAGACATTATGCACTCCCAAACTTACCCTTTCCCCGGTAAGAATGGCCGCCAACCAGAGAGTACAGATCATCCAAGTGCTCCTCATAATTCCTCTGACAAATGCGCAGTGGGTACAAACAAAATGCAACAATCTGTGGTCTCCGCGCACAGCAAATCTTTGCCCTTATTACCGCGTCTCACTTGTTTCTATCCACTACTCTTTCTTCCAGCCCCCACTTTTCTCCTCTCCTCTCTTCTCTTTCTCCAACTGGAATCCCACCGGATACGTGTTGCTTTATTATTCCTACGCGCACTTTTGTTTCAGTTTTTCCCCTGCATACGTCTCGCTAGCTGTGACGGTCCAGGAGCTATTTTCTCTTGTGATTTTTTTTAGCTTGCGTTTGGTATTATTACGGCTTTGAAGGAGGTCCCTTACTGCAGGCTATAACTTCGGAGCCATTTCTCGTATCCTGCAGCAAATAGCCTCGAATGAAAGTCGCCGCAAAGGGGAGAAAAGAGAAATAACAGGACAAACGAGGGAGAAGCTCGTACAATGATTGACGCGTCTTCTGACCATCTGGGAACTACGTCCAAACCAGCAGAGAGAGAGAGAGAGAGAGAGAGAGAGAGAGAGAGAGAGAGAGAGAGAGAGAGAGAGGAATACGATAAGTGCTATACGGTATTTTTTCCTCGGACATTTTTACGAATGTATTTTTAAAATACAGTTTAGTAATATATGCAGGAATTTTGTTAATAGACCTGTGTATTTCTGTAGTTCTATTTAATATAAAAATATTCTGTTGTACGTTTGCTATTTAAAATATAATTGTTATCGCTGTAGTTATTATACGCTGATTCGTTTATTTGCATGTGAAACAAAAAGAACAATGTGTACTTCAATTCTTTTATTAAAGCGTGATGATGTCAAACAGTTTGGCACTAAAATTGCTTCATTTACTCGCATTCGATTCAATTTGGATGCGTTGTACGAAGTTTGTTATACTTCAACAAATCTCACAATAGCCGACTTTTGTCTCCCCCTACCGATATGTGCAGTAGGCCTAACCATTGTATAATACTCTAGAAATCACAATGGGTAGGACGTAAAATACTACTCTTGTAAAAGATTTACGATTTGCATACACGGCTTTCCTGAATCAGTTTTTTTTTTTTTTTAAACTCTGGTGCAATATTCTTTCAATAGGCAAAATAAAGACAGGAAAGTCAAAAGTGTATCTATATTTCCTTTCGCTTAAAGTCAAATGAGTTTAAATGTATTGTTTTTCCTGTCGAATCGTTTTATTGTTGGTCTGACCTGACAATATCAAAGGCCCCCCACCCCAGCTGTCACATTAAAGGACAAAGGAACGTAAACTTGACACCATTATGTGACCACTGAGTGACACAGGCGCTGTCGATGAAGCTCCGTGTGCTCCAAGCAGCCCTGTTCAGTCGCGGCGGTAAAAAACAGTCGTCGCACATGCTGTCATCTTATCTCCTTTTCTTTCTGGATTTCAAGAATGATCGTTTACTTCGCAGTTAGGTGTACAGATCGCAATTAAAAGAAGTCATCAGGATTTCCTACTTGTAGTAGGTTGTTTTCATCAAATGAGGTGGCAAAGTTTCAGCCTTTTGGGAAAAATAAACAAGCAAAATGTTATTGTTTACCATCTATATTTGGGAACAGTTTGAGCCATTTATAAGGATAACATTTTAGAAAGAAACCGTTTTGAACAATTAAAGCATTTTTATAAATTGGTATAGCTTAAAGGTTATTGAGACTGGGTAAAATTCTGCATCTCTAAATTAATACAATGAGCTGTGAATGTGAAAAACGTCTTTACAGACTTGGAGATTCATAAGTTACTTATAAACTGTCGGTTTATTCAGCTTGCGGTTAATGAAGCGGCATCTAGGGCAGTGACAAATGTGAAAGCAATTCTGACTTATAGTCTGAGGGGCTGAATCGTATTTGCAGTGATTTTATGATATCTTTATTACTTGTAGTGTCAAATGTCAAAAAAACTTTGTGCTCAGAGCAATTGTCATCAATTCGAAATCCAATATTGCACGCATTGCAAGATAATCTGTGCTTTTGTGTGTTTTGTGGACTTCTGGTAAATTGCATTCTGAAGCTATTTGCTCCGAGCTTCTTCTCCCCTCAGATCATTCTGCACGTAATTACTGTACTTCCCTCATTTTCTTCCTTTTTCAGCCGAATTATACTTCACTTCGATCGCAGAGATGTGATTCCAGCAGCAGGATCGGATCCAGTAACAGGACTGGGAACAAACGCCGAACCGTCTACTGACCCGGTTTAATCACTCTGTACGTCAGACAGAATTAGAAAGATTTTGCCTTTTCCTAACAGCGTGGGTGTCGCTCCACCTCCTCCCCATGGACAGCGAACACTCACTCGATTTCGCTGCTGCAGTGCAGTACAGCACAAGTCACTGAGGAGCCGGAGGGCGCTGTAGCAGTCAAATACAGCGGGGAAGGAGCGCAGTGTGGGAGGTAGTGTACGCGCAAAAATAATGTATACAGAGCATAATTTCTTTCACAGTCTTTTTGGGTGCTGTATGCGTTTTTTGGGGAACTTGAATTCAGGTAATGTGAGACAGGCGTATGGACAATCAGCATTAACGCAAACGAGTAGTTATCGCGTTAATAATAGCCAGTTTATTAATTGTATTATTCATTGTTTATTTCTCCAGTTCAGATGCGAATTTGAATCATGGGACGAAAGAGACACACTTTACACGGGATACCCTTCCATCTCAGAGCCGTGACTTGTCACATCAGCTCCAGCTATGGGTCACCACATCACCTGGATTGGTTGGACTGTTTGGCTAAACTAACTGTTCAACCAAACACAGTATGCAGGCCTAACTTAAAGTAAGACATATCAAACACCAGCCACTGGGCCGTCTATTTAAAATTCCCGTTTTTGTTAATTTTTTAATTCATACATTTATTTGCTAGACCCAGGTGTCACAGGATACTGTTTTGGCCGTGCAGGTTGAGCCACCGGTGCTGTACGAATGGGATAAGAGTGGAACTGAACCTCAGTCATAAAAGCGTTTAAATCCGTCGCTTTAGTGCATTATTATTAGATGTATGTAAAGCATAAAATTGGATAAAAGAAAACGTTTTCAAACACTGACAGTTTTTTCTTCGGTGCCATTTAACAACCTGAGAGCCATTCTGACAGCTCCAGGAGGATTTTACTGTGACAGCTGTTTTATTCCCATTAAAATAAAACGGACTAAGATTCATATCATTAAAGAGCTGTCAGAAGAGGCAGCCTCCGAATCCCCTATGGGACCTTTGCAGCCGCTGAAGCATCATCTGCAGTGAGGCTTCCTGGTGTAAGAGGCAGGCTAACACCCACCTGCGGGTCCCTATAGCGTCTTCCTGGCGGCCGTAAGCTGCGGTCTGCGGGTCCCTGATCTATAGAAAGGACTAGCTTTGAGAGACAGCTCCGTCTCCTTGCCAAACCAACACGTCTCGTCGTGCTAATTTTTCCCTCGATTCCCGGAACTTATTTTTAGCTTTTTCTCCGCTCCATCAGTTAGACGGAGAGCTAACATCGTCGAGGGGAAAATTAGCTCTCACTACTCAATTACCGGCCTGATTAAAATCTAAACACCCTCATTAATCCAGTTAAAATACCATCAAAACTATTTGAATCTAAAGATGCATGATATCATTGGACCACATGGCCCTGGCTCCAGGGTTTGTCTGAAATTGTATATACTGCTGTTGATTGCATGTAGCTAAGAAAGGCTCGTTACAGGTTTATGATTGGATCCGACTGGCGGGTGTAAAAAAAAGCGACATTTTACCTCGATGAACAATTCATGACATTGCATTAAATCATACGTTCTTGTATTATGAAGGGTACTTTATATCGTTGGTATATAATGTCAAGACGTGGCCAAAAAAACTAAGCTGTCACTTAGGTGTAGATTGCTTGGGAGTGTATACAGGCGCAATAAGGAAGTTGTCTTGGTCAGCAGTGGTCAAAAGATAGATCATTAGTAATATGGCTACGCGTTTGTGGAGATGATGCATTCACTTTAGGCTGCTCAAGACGTGAAGATCGCTCATTCAGTTTAGCAAAGCCAAACACCCGTTCGCTGCTCTGACTGCAGCAACAGCACCCCCACGTGGCAAAAAACTGAAATCAATATGAAATTCAAATCAGATCAGGGACTGTAGCCCTAAAACAAAACTGCATATTAAACACAAGGTAACACATAAGACAAATAGATGGTAAGTGTTGTCGAACCTTCCACATTTGTAGGTTTAAGGGCACAGACCCCCCGATCTGGAAAAGCCACGTGAACTGTTTTGGTTTCTTGACGAGTGAAGTGTTTTGGAATTTAGTGCAGTTTACAGTAATAACACAGAACAAAAAGATATGACAAATGCGTCATATATAGATTACTGCGAGGTATCACATGAGGTAAACACACTTGGCGTCCTCCAAACCAGCAGTGTACATATATTTACGCATTTTTGAGTTACAAAATTTTTTTTGTGTCATCTGAAAGGCCACAGGAATGCAGGATGCAGGTGTCACTCTGTCTGAATGTCACTCCGGCAGCGCTCTAGCGATATCCCGCCATTCTATTCATCATCCTCCTTCTCTTCCAGCTCTTCCTCATCACCTTCTTCATCATCCTCTCCCACAGGCTGGAAGGTGGTGCTGCTGACCTGATGTAGTGGCGTACCCAGGATACCAAACCTACAGGAGGGATATGGGTGGAGGTGAGGATCAGGCTTCATGCAGTGGTAGAGGTATCTTCCTCAGCAGGTCCCCAACGACCCCCCCAGTTTAACCCCTAGGTGCACATACCCAAGCTTCGTATAGCACAACAGCAGAAAGTGACTCTATGCATAAAATAAATATGCAGCCATTAACAGGACCCACTGGAGAGGAAGAACACTGTCCTTGGAAGGTGTGGAATTGCATGCTTCATTAGCACCAGAACCGACTGAAGCTTGACGCCTTCGCTAATGCCAAGGATTTTGGCAGGGGGGTGTGGGGGGGGGGGCTTGGATCATGGATCATATCAAACTTCCACCCAAATACCAAAAAAAAGTACCCCAGCGGGTCTCACACTTTTGGTACTGCAACTTTTGGTACTGCAACTTTTGGTACTGGTACTCAGTGGAAAAAGGGAAAGTACCAAAAGTACTATAGCAAAAGTACGGTACTTGGTGCTGTGGAAAAGCGCCCAGGAAGGATCGGAAACTAATTCAGCCAACTGCAGCGTGGATGTGCCGTCCCTCACTTACAGAGTATTAAATTACAGGGTGCGCTGACTGTTATTCAAAACATCAAGTGATTAATATTTGCTGAACACTTATCGCCCCCTGCCCCAACCCTGGGAGGCATCAAGCTTTGTGTTAAATATAAAACGTGTCTTTGAACACTGCAGTGTCAGGTTAACTGAGAGTCATGAGCTTCAGTGGCGGTGTGTGATGCATGTGTTACCGGGCAGAGGCCAGCTGATAGGCGAGCTGTTCATTCAGGGCTTCCGTATCACAGTCTCCACCAGGGGTCGCTGTCCGAGGCAGCGGTGTGGCAGACAGGCACAGGGCGGCTGAGGGGAGCAGGGCCATCAGAAGAGGAGAACACTGTGTCACGATTCTGCTGAAAGCAGGTTTCTTCTGGGGCTTCCTCCTGTCGGACGACAGTGATTCAGGGCACGAAGATCTCCGAAAGCCTGCAGGTTGAATAGCTGAGAACTTCTGAGAACTTATCAAAGTTGGAGAAGGAAATGTCCATCCATCTACTTCCCAGGTCACAAGTGCAAGGCAGGACAGGGTGCCAACCCATCACAGGGCACACTCACACATATGGACAAACTGGAAACTCCAATTCACGGCATATTTTTGGACTGAGGGATAACTAGAGGAAACCCCACGATGACAGGGGGAAAACAAGCAGACTCCACCCACATAGAGCCAGGGTGGAGACTCGAACCCAGATCCCAGAGGTGTGAGGCAACAGTGCTAACCACTGCACCACCATACCACCTGACAGAGCAATGTGCCAGGCAATAAATCATAACCTAGATATAGATTAAAAAAGATGAAGCTGGGTATTCCCATCTAGAGTTAACAGTGGCTGAGTATATGAGTGCTGTTTCATACCTCTGGTGCGGATGTGGCTGGGTATGACCTTCGACCCCTGCTTCTCCCTGTTTCAAGGAGGTGCTGCAGAAGGGCTCCTCCACGCTTCCACTCCGCCTCACTCTCAGAGCAGGGTTGAAGGCATCGGAGCGCATCAATCTCCCCACCTCCTGCTGGATGGCCAGCAGGTCCTTTCGTCCGAACGTCAGCCAGGCGGAGTAACAGATGAAGCTGTACACCCACTGAGACACATGCACGCTTCTTAACATAAATCCAATCTGACTGACCGGAGCAGCCCAGCCAGCGAGAGCCTCAGCCGCTCGGATCTTTGGCACGAGTCTTGGTCTGGCTCTGGCTTTTGTTTCACAATAACTTCTCATACTCACTTCAAAGAACTGCCTGTCTCTGTAAGTCGATGATGTTCTGCTCCTGTTGGTGTCAAACACACACTTGTATTAATTTTCACATTTGAACAAAGATACAGAAAAAACAACAGATCACAGTAAAATGAAGTACACTGTGTGCAGTTTGGTATCTTCAGCCAAAAAGACTAACGAGCCAGAATAACATAATTCCCGTACAGCAATGTTATTCAAACTTTTTTTGACAGGGTCCCCCTAGGGCTCATATGTTTTTCTTACCCTCCCCCCCCCCACACAAATCACACAAAACAGTTTTGCAGATAAGCTGCATCACATTTTCTTTTAACACTACTGTAAGCTACAAGTTTCTCCATGGTTCCTCCAAGTATGTAAGTATTAAGTTAATAACCTTAAACTTTAGTTATATTACTACTCAGAACAGTTTGATGTATCCAGTGCATGGTGTCTATTTTACACATTTTAATTATTTTAATCTGTTAGAGTCATATATCGTGTACAGGCATATAATATGTTTATACTATTTTTAATATTTCAATTTAGAAATAGATCTGCACCCAGTGCAACCCCCCCCCCAGCAATATTTTTTCCCCCTTGCCTCTGCACCCTGCAATTTCTCCCTGCTCCACCAGGGGGAGTGCCCTTCAGTTCAAATAACTGATGTACAGTGTGGTCCTTTACAGTTCAGGCAACTAGACTAGTGTGAATAGCCATATGAATGTTTATCTCAGGTAACTGGAAGCAGCCTGCAAGCTAGAGTAGTGAAAAAAATACCGCACCATATGTTCCAGTGCGTAATGCTCAGCAACCCCAGTGCTGCCTGTCACAAACCTGCTTATCTAACCACTGGCACCGCTGGTCAGTCTGACCATGTGCACCAGATACATCATGAAGGCCCAACAGTGCGCATATGCTTCCTAACGCAGTGTCATTCCTTCTGAATAGTTATTACTTTAATCCCAGAGTGCTGGATTCAGAGCACTGACCTTCCGCATGCCATGTGATGGTGCTGCGGCAGACTCGCTCCAAGGATCAAGCTGGCATAGCAAGAAGCAAGCTGCTTCTGGGCCAGGTCCACCTTGGCACCAGCCTCCACCATCTCCTGCCGTCCTGTTACACTCTGGTCCCTGAGGGAAGTGGCCCACAGGAAAAAGAAAAAAGAAACACCCTTCATGATTCATTAGGCTTTCACGTAGATAACACAAAATCCAGAAACCAAACAACTGAGTATAAAGAGTCACAGAGTACTCAACTGGTTGGTTAAATCAAAATCTTGGTCTAGGTCTTTACTTTCTGGAACTGAAATGTCGAGTTGATACTTTGTGACTTCTAAAACCACTGACAATCAAGGGCTATGTACGTAGAAATATAATTAAATTCAGGATTTCAGACTGCAGTGTACAAAGATTAAAAGAAAGGGATTTCATATCAATAATTCTCTGGAACATGGAATGCTACTCTGAAGAATGAAAATGTGTAATTCTGTTCCCATACACTGGTAAATGAGGTCACAGGGAGAACATGTGACCGGCGACTCCATGTCCGTGTCACGGTGAGCGTGGCATTTCACTCACGCCACGCGTGTCTTGGTCTTCTTGGCCAGCATCCTCTTTTCAAAAAAGCAGGACAGGTACAGCAACAGGGCACGTAGGAAGTCATCCAGAGCATCACCCCTGGCATGGGGAAACCCAGAGAACATGTAGGCATCTAGATGGGGGGAGGGGGGTACGGCAATATAAAGGGCAATCACTCCCCACCTTAGCAGAGACAGGAACTGTGTTGGAATGCGTTGAGATGTTTCCCTTTGCAGATGTGAGAGAGCCTCCTCTGTACCATAATGAACAGATGGTCAAAAGCAGGTGTCCATGACAAAGAAACAATATGGTAGAGAAGTTGCTTCAGTGGTCATAAGGAACAGTACTGTCCAATCAAAACCCTGCTCCTCTTAAAGATTCACAGCTCTGGAAAAAATTAAGAGACCACTCAATATTTTAAAAAAATCTGCATTTTTAAATCCTGGTTTAATTGTGGTCCTGCTGGCAGAGGCTACACTGAGCAGCAGGCTGCTTCCAGGCTCAGAGTTTCTAAGACAGCAGTACACAAGAATAAGGTGAAGCAGGATACACTGGGAACAACCAGAAACCAGCCAGGCAGAGGGCAGAAGAGACTTTCTAATGCCAGAGATGACTGTCAACTTATCCGGCAGTGCCTCATAAATAGGGGGGTGACCTCAAGTGACCTTCAAAAAGAGTGGGACACATTAAATGGCATGAAGTGCTCCTAGAAGCAGGACTGAAGTCCCATAAAGCAAGGAAGAAGCCCTTCATCAATGTGAAGCAGGGAAGAGCCAGACTGGGGTTTGCAAAAAAAAAAAAAAAAAGTATATTTTACACAGGTGCATACCCATAAATTGAAAAATTAGTATAACTGAAAATTTGATTGTGGTCTCTTAATTTTTTCGAGAGCTGTATATTTAACACTATTACTTTGACATTAGGTACTGAAATATTTTATATTGAAAGCTCCCCCAAAGTACCCCCCCCCCTCATATCCCAGTTGTTTTTTTTTCGATAACTGACAATGATGCAAATTATCACTAATAGGAAAAATGTATTCAGTCCATTAATAAGATGCCGCATTGATATCAGATAATGTGAAATATTAATACACAAGACATAATAAAATTGAAGAATGTCACCCATGGGATCAATAAGGTAAATCTTATTTCATCATATAAAATGAAGAGATCGAGGCTTGTCCACAGGGATACATGCCTTTAATGTGTTCAATGGTGACACAGTCTGATTGGTCCTTCTTTAAGGAAATATTTCCCGGTACTTGGCCAATGTTACTGCGCTCCTCTGGAACACAATTGTCACCGTGCTCCTTAGAAGCCAAAGCCGAGGACTGTACAGACCTTAGGGCAATGAGAAAAACTTAATGATAGATTTATTTTACCAGTGAATCACAATTATCCTTTCGATATGGACACTACCTAGATAGCACACATAACGTTGAAATGACATTGATTCCATATCAGGCAAAAAAAAGGTTGAAACAACGTTGATCTTCAATCTTTCACTTCATATCAACATTGATTCAAGGTTTTGCCGCCATCAATTTTTCAATATTGAAAATCTGACGAAAAAATCAATTTAGTTTCAACGTTGATAATTTAACACCGACCGTAATTCAACGCATTTAACTATAATTCAACGTTGAAACGATAAAATGATGCTATCTGGGTATACCCATTCAAGTCACCGTAACTGCATTAGGCCACACGTCGGTATGCGACTATAGTTATTTTGTTGTAAGTACTATATGGCGTATGTATTATGAAAATGCTCGGTATCTTATGAATTGGGTCACTTAAAAATAGATTAATATACCTTTCAAGTCTTTTGCCAGTAAACTCAGGGGCATGCACGAGATTGGTCTTCTTCACATTTTCTGTTATTTCATCAGAATCACTTGAGCTAAAGACCGAGATGCATAAAATTATAAATGACAGACACAACAAATAAAAAAATTTAAAAAAACACAACACGCCACAATTTTTCACCGTAGTCTGTAAGTGTTCGATGCATGATGATTAGGCTACTTAATTACCGTAAAAACACGAGAGTTTCAGCTTCATCGTTCCAGCTCCACGTCCCATCTGGAGGAATTCCGATCTGTAAAATTAAAGCCCGAAACTAAAGCTATTTACAGCTACAGAACCGAGGGAAACGTGCATTGCTTCTATAGAAAACCTTTAAAAACAAGCCAAAGTCGTACAAACAAGCTGAGAAGAAGCGTACAACGGGAGAACAGTGTCGGATTCCGCATTACCGTTTTAGCCATCGCCACTTCGCTCCACACCGGAGCACCGGAACCCGAACAGAACCCTCTCGTACTGAAACCGACCCAACTGAAGCCTGCGCTTGTTTACAGTGACGTCAGCTGCCAGGCAACCGGTAGGATCTCAGGTTCGGGGTTCAAAGGACGGGATCTAAATCCAGAAGAATCCGATTTAAAGACCGACTGATGTAAAATATGCAACGATAAATACTTAGAAATGCAAACACTAATGTGCAATGGTCCTAGGCAGTGAAATACATGTTTCAATGATCTTCATGTTGGTGTAAAACTATGTCTGTTAAAATGTGACAGCTTAGCCATTTCAAAACCTCTCCTAAAATCATCCCAGTATTTGCAGCAACCGTCTAATACGCCAGTTTAAGTCCACGTTTACCCCAACCTGTTTGGCTAATCAATGCCTCATTGAGTTAATTAATTTGACCGGTGACCTGTACTACGAAGCGGGGCTATCGGGGTAACTTGTCGAATTTAAAGTACCACAGTTAAATTGGACTTCATATTCGCTCACTTACATTTTTCCCAGACTACCTTAAATCCGACAAGTTACCCCGATAAGCCAGTAACCCCGCTTCGTAGTACAGGCCCCTGGTGGTTAATTTTAATGAATATATACACAGAATGGTATATATATGGTGAAGGTGGAGCTATCCATCAAGATATCAGTAACTTTTTTGATACTCTTCATTTGCCTACGTTGTAATGTTAAATTTTGTTGTTTTTCTTTCTGAGCAAAAATACACCTACTACCCAAATAAATAAACATTTTATTTTATTAACAAACATTTTGCAGAGTGAGCCTATTCTACATCAAGACGTTGGTCGATTCTGATGATTTTGTAATGACAGGTCCTTGGTGTTTTTTCCTGACATCAGCACATGTTTAAAATTACATTACTATTCATTCAGAAATTTAAATCGCTGCGGTTTATTGAAAAATATTTAAAGTAAAGCCTTTTATAACTGTTTACCTTATGGATCTTCATTATAAATAGCGTGGCTCCTCGTTGAAACCAAATTTAATAATGAAGCCAATAAAGTACTGGCAGTTGAAATGAGAATATGGCCAGTATAAATAAAATAACCAAGACGGACTATGAGTTGCAGCCTTGTGACAAAGTACTAGTGTGTATAATGAACACTGTAACAAGCCTTAATTAATACCCTACCAGACAATTACCGTCCTCATTGGATTGGTGACAGCACAAAACACATTGTAATTTTCCCACTCATTGCAGGGAAATGAACTGATATCACGACAGGACACGTAACTATAAGCAGGTACAGGGTTCGTGTGAGTTATCCATAAGATCGGGGGCTAAGTCAAGTTTACCTGGGGCTTGACTTTTTGTATTTTTTGAAGGATGATTGGCATCGAGGATAAAATACTCGGGGCTGTAGCCCCAAGTGATGGGACCTAAAGACACCCAGCAGCAGGACTGTCGCTGGGGGGTTGGGCATATTTTCCCCGGTCCTGGACCTCAGAGACAACTTAAATTAGCCGGATCTACCAAGCAGAACCTTCACAATCTACCCACTGGTACCAGCAGCACATTGAACAATGAATGTTTATAGAAGCTGCCTTAGCTACCTGAAATTGTTTCAAAGGTGTGTTTGCTTGGGGGGGGGGGGGATCTTACTTTGTAAATAAATTCACAAATCACCCAAACTCATAATCAATTTTATGTGGAAAAATGCCAGGGATGCATAAGAATGGTCATACTTAGAATACAGGAGGGACAAGAGCCTAACTGAATGCATTTTTTTTTACAATGCAAAGAGACAGTGTGTTTTACTAGTAGTCTTGGATTGCCAACTACGACACATCAGTCAGAGGTTTAAGGCATTCTTTTGTCAATATGTTTAGCCTTATTACTAAAATACATCACAGTACACATTTCCACACCTAGTCTGTAATTACAGTAGCAGTTTACAGTACCAGCTTGTGTTGCTGACATAGTATTTCATATGAAATCAACAACTGTAAAGTTTTAAAGGTTTTAATGCCAGCTGTATCCCAAATAAGATTCAAGTTTAGTGGGAATGTTCACAATTATGTCCGAGTAGCTATGATTAAAACCAGACCCATTAGAAGCAGGTTGAGCAGAGGAGCTTGGTTGCTTTTTTTTAAAAAGCCTAGTTGCTCTTTAGGGTAAGGAGATGCACTTTCTCCGTCAAATAGTCCAGCCCCCATGTCTTATGCTTTTCTTCAAATGCATCTTGAGACACGAGTAACTGAACCTCACAGGCACTTCCTGAAATAAACAGAGCGCACTGACATCAGCTAAACTCACACACAGCTCACAGAACACATAGACATCAGCTAAACTCACACAGGGCTCAAAGAACACACAGACATCAGCTAAACTCACACACAGCTCACAGAACACACAGACCCAATAACTACATTCTCATCTTCCTTTTGGTTATATAAGGAAAAGGCTTTGTTGGAAAACATATTATCGTGCTTCATTTCTGTATATATTTCTGAGTACCACCTCTATCATACAGTCACAGTCACATTACTCTTGGCGAGAGCAGGTCTGGCAACTATCTTACCAAATAAAGTCCTTATATCTTCATCCGACACAGCAAAGGGTGGACCTGCAGGTAAATAAAGCGAGACATAGATAATCCTGCACTTGTGAGGGCCTTAACAATACCACTCTGCAAAAGCCATATTTGTTTGGGGCATGTTGAAGCTCTTACCTCCAAAGAGCTCAGGGTTGTACAGTAACGTGTCCAGGAGGTACCTGCAGTCCTTGTCCATTAGGGAAAGTAAAATGCTGGCATACCTTTGATACACAGGGAGGCTTATTGATTATACTTTCTCTGCTAATTTCTCCGTTGAAATTTGCACAGCCAGAGCGAGTTTTGTTATACCTTTCTCTGTCACAGGGGTTAATCGCCACCAAGGAGCCCCTGTCCCAGATGCCTCCAAACTGTCCTGCAACAGAACTGAAGGACAGATGGAGACGAGGGAGGTCATTAAAAGCAACACATAGCTCTGGTGGTCTTCGAAAAGGCTCTTTTTGCATTTTTTGTTACCTCTACATGGCAAAAACATCAACATGATGTCATACTTGGAAAGTTCAATTTCAAAGCAAGGAATAAAGTTGATTAAATAGATTAAAAACAAATTGCTAAAAGTGTGACTGAGGCTATATATTTTAAAACTAAAAAGGCACATTGAATTAATTTCTGAGTTCAGCCACAAAGAACCATGCCAATGCATCTTTTTCCATTCACATTTTTGTGGTAACTCATACCTGGAAAAATCATAAAGACTGCACTGATATAGAGAGATCTTTCCATCAGAACTCTGTGGATAAAAACAAACGCATGTCTAAGGAGAACACAGGATAAGTGTTTCACAGGGACTGGCCCAAACCAGATGTTTCCATGGCTACAAAGTGGGAGATTCCATAGAACATATGCAGGGGAGAACAGATTACCTGAGGAACCCTGAAGCATGATAAAATACTGCAGGGTAAGACTCAACAACCCCTCAAGGTAACAGCGGTGCAAATGTTTCAACTGTTACTTAATGGTGGAGGTAGCCGCTCTGCTGCTACCTTGAAGAGCTTGCCTTCTGGGATAGCAGGGACTGTCTCCTCAGTATAGGTCATATTGTGGTCCTCAAAGAATTGCTTGATAGCCATCTCAGAAATTTCCACCCCTACCACAGAATGGCCCATATCTGCAAGCCTGGTAAGAGACACATGAGAGACGGTTACTGACGCCACTTGATTGTTTATGAAATTTCATATACATATTTCCTGGGTCATTTATGAAAATCACCTACCATTTCATGTCGACGGCCTTTCCACAGAGAGGAAAGAAAAACCGGACCCCTGATCGGCCACAAAGAACCCTGTCGATGCATTTTTGCAGCATCCTACAAAGCGAGGAAATCTACTGAATCATCACAGTACACTGTATGGAGCTTGTGTTCAGCCATGTTAAGTTTTGATCATGTATGTTGTCATATCAGGCTGTGCAGCACAGTCCCACACTTTCAAAGCGGTATTTGAAAGTATTTTTTGTTGGGGTTTTATACACATTGTATGAAGTATGTCTGTGTGGCTGTTGCATGTGTTCTTGTTTCTGTGTAAAGTACTTTGGTCAACCATTGGTTGTTTTACAATACGCTATGGAAATAAACTGACGACTTATTTTACTTGTGAACATGAAAATTATGGAATCCGATTCTTCCGGTCTGCCAGCGTTCCTCCCACTCGCTGACGGCCATCACTCTGTCCTTCTGAACGCTCATGTTCTCTTCAAAGCACAGCAGAATAGATGATTTCCTAAGAGGATCATTAGAAAAGTCAATACTATTCCTCAATAAGGGTGCAGAAGGATTCTGGTACGTTTTATTTGCAGGGATCGGCAGTGATGTATTGTATAGGTAACACTTCAGTTGAGAGTGCGAAATCATTAGTGTCACCATGCAACTTTGGTCAGCTGACTGCAGTGAGATTTTCTGTTTCTATACCCATTTATATAAGTTAATTCTAGGATTCGGACTGGGAAATCTGATCGTGGATCATGCTGGTTTTAAAATGCGTACACTTCCACCTCGCGACCCTTTCAGAACTTGCCGCGACCCAAATTTGAATCGCGACCCATAGGTGGAGAATCGCTGGTCCGTAAGGTTTGAAAACTGTCTAAATGCTTTTGATACAACTAATTTTAAGTCTATAATGGGATAATACAGATTTGCTGTAAGATTTCTGGTGTGAGCGCTAAAGAGTTGGCAACCCTGTATTACATAGAACAAATAATACGTTGCATAAATGAACTGTTACCCCCCTGTTTTCAGTACAATATATGAAGATTACTATTCGAGGAAAATCTTGTGTACCTCATTTAAGTCAGATTTGTTTCTCTGATTCATATACGAACATAACACACATAGCGTTCTACCTTAGGAATATCGTAACTGTAAATAATTGTTAAAAGCAAGAGATATCAAAGTAACCATGTACCTTTACGGAAAACAAAGTCCACCGTATTCCGCAGTACAGGAATTATGGGACGAGAGCACGCGCGGTACGGGAGGCGGGACTCATTTCAGCTTCTCTCATTGGCTGGGATTAAAATCATCTCCTTTGACGTCATTCCGCGCTGGCAGCGACTGTCCCAGAGTAACTTCTTCAGTGACAGTTTGATTAAGTAGACGTATCTAACTGCTCTGCAAAAAAGTGCATGCTACAGCAATCAGTCCAAACGCGTTGGTCGTGTAGGTTGTTATAGCTATAGTTCAGCAATTTTCACAGTGCGTTACCTTTCTTGGGAAATGCAGTATTTTAATACAACGGATTTTCTGTATGAAAAAGCCGCCATATCAAGCCACCACAATCAGAAGAGTGGTCATCTATTATCAGAGTGAATGATTTGGAAGTAAAATTTCAGTTAACGTATTTTTTCACTTTTATTCAGAAAATAATATAATTTGAATCTGTGTCGCTTTTCATGTACAGCTTCGGATAACTTTCTGAAAGATAAGCTCAACAAAAACAATTTGCCATTCTGGGTACAAGTACACACCATCTTAATAACCAGTACACTACTGTTATAACATTCATTCCGCACAATCTTATTTTAGTTCCTAAAATATGTCCAGTACATATAGGACAACAATACGCAATACTTAAACCAGTGTTTCCCAGCCCGGTCCTCGAGAACCCGCAGACAGTCCACATTTTTGCTCCCTCCCAGCACTCTGCCAGAGAGCCCACATTTTTGCTCCCTCCCAGCACTCTGCCAGAGAGCCCACATTTTTGCTCCCTCCNCCACATTTTTGCTCCCTCCCAGCACTCTGCCAGAGAGCCCACATTTTTGCTCCCTCCCAGCACTCTGCCAGAGAGCCCACATTTTTGCTCCCTCCTAGCACTCTCCCAGAGAGCCCACATTTTTGCTCCCTCCCAGACAGCCCACATTTTTGCTCCCTCCCAGCACTCTCCCAGACAGCCCACATTTTTGCTCCCTCCCAGNCTCCCAGACAGCCCACATTTTTGCTCCCTCCCAGCACTCTCCCAGACAGCCCACATTTTTGCTCCCTCCCAGCACTCTCCCAGACAGTCCACATTTTTGCTCCTTCACTGCTGGGAGGTCCCCAAAGATCAGTATGAGAAACAATGACTTAAGATAAAACTGTACCCAACATTATGTGCTCCAGTTACACTATATTTGAATGACACACAATGTCATTGCGATTTATTGCATTGCAACTTGCACATACGATCCAACAAGTGGATAACTCTGTTTCTAGCCTGAGACGAAAGCATCACTCACTGTTTTGACAGATAAATGACAGACCTAAAACTTTGCAGGCTGGACCGGCACAGTGCTACCAGCTTCCATAGCACAGCTGTATGTACAGCCCCTATACCAGGCAACCTCCAGTCATCATGGTACAAGCAGAACTGCAAACATCTCGACTACAGAAAAGATGAAAATGAATCACTGATCAGGTGTAACAGTACATCTCCCCCCCCCCCCTTACTGCAGAGGCACATAAATAAGGGGTTAATTACATTTCACAGAGAAAGCCAACAGCTTACCGAAGGGAAACTGGTGTCCCTCCCATCAACACAGGCATTTTATATGCCCAAGTGAACATTTTAGAAACTTGGAAAATCCTGTGGGATTAAAAAGTCTTTATCAAGAATGATTTTTTTCTTGAATGTATCCAATTCCTTAATATTCTCACTGGCCAACGGCAAGAATGGAATTGTGCTTCAGTGGGTAATCTATAGAAATAAAAACATTTTAACTTAAAACAAAAACATTCATAATTAAAATAAGTACAGTTACAGAACACATAACAGAAACCTTCTTTGGTTGTCAGTAGTGATTACTGGTTATAATCACTGTGAAATAGTTATTTTCCCACTCACTAATGGCTAGAAAACAAAGTTACACTGCTCTATTTTCCCAGCAGCATGAGAGCAGCTTAGCTTGGCTAGCGATATATGGTGTTCTCCAGTGAGGCCCTCATTTCACACCAACCCTAGACTCGGCCCCTCTGAGGCTGTTCACCTGACCCCTCTTCCACACGGGTGGGATCTTCAGTGGGAGGGGAAGAAAAAAAAAAAAGGCACCAATCAGTGGATACAGATCGCCATGGCAACAAGTTGAAGACTGAATAACCATGGAATAAGGCGAGGGGCGATACCGTGGGTGGAGAGGATGGCACAAGGTGCCGGCCCAGGAATGACAGGAGCCGCCTCCAAATCAGTCCACTGCCCAGGAACATGAAGCCTGTCACCAGCCAGAAAACACGAGGATCCTACAGACAGACAGAGTAAAAGATAAAGGTTATTCTCCATCCAATTTGCTGCTTTCTTTTTTCTGCATGTGATACGGAAGTGAACTTGGGGATAGTCCAAATCATACAGAAATCTGACGTTGCCTTTAAAACTTTGTGAACTTAATTGAGCGTATGTAAATTAGCTGGTCTAAATTATTTTTGCAAGTACAAATACTTTTGAAGTCCTAGAAATATACATTTCAGAAAATGTGAGTAAGTCCAGAGGACCAAACCCCCCCCCCCCCGCTCTCCAAAGCCTTGTCCACAATGGCGTGAATGTTGTACATACCTCTTCAAAGGAAGATTCGAGGTTCATACCAAAGGCCACCCCAATTAGGCCGAAGAGGGAGAGCGAGAAGGTGCCCATGGTGAGCTGGAGGTTCAGACGCATCATGACGTTCCGGTGACTTTTTTGCCAAGAAAAATCCAGGGAAAACCAGAAGATATGAAACATTAGACTTGTGAAAAAGTGTGAGGCAGTGCAAACCTTCAACACCAGTGTTTGTCAGCCCAGCCCTCGGGGGACCCCAGACAGTCCACATTTTTGCTCCCTTCCTGCTCACTGCACACCTGAACCAATCAATGAACACCACAGAGTAACTGATACAAGTGAGCTGGGAGCAAAAATGTGGACTGTCAGGAGGTCCTCAAGGAATGGCTTGAGAAACACTGCATGTTCGCACTCAATCTTTTTGCTTTCTGTAAGAATATATCAATGCAGACATTCATAAATTGATTTGTAATTTCATTATCCTGTGACTGAGAATGACGCTGCTCAAAAATGTAAAAGCTTGAATGGCGAAGAGACCTATCCAGGTTGATGAAGATGACGCTTTCGCAGTCATCGATGAGCCCCTTCAGCTCTCGCGTCTTGTTGCCCAGATCCTCTGCTTGCATGTAGTAGTTCTCCAAAAGCAGATCCATCTCGTCAGCATGGTCAATGCCTTGGCTGCTCTCCTCACTGCCTCCATAGGGACAGGCGAGGGAGTCACTCAAAGAGTCACACACGGCCATGAGGACACACAGTAAGGGCGTCACATAGTAAACTATTCTCTATTTTTGCAGCTTAAATACTTGGGCTGATACAGTACTGTGCAAAAGTCTTAGGCAGGCAAAGAAAACGATGTTTAAATAAATAAATGATATTATGCCTGTCAAAGTGTGTCAGCTTAGCCATTTCAGAACCTCTGCTAAAATCACCCCAGTATTTGCAGCGACTGTCCAGTGCAGCCATGTATTTTTTAACTTGGCCACTAGCACACCTCATACAGCAAGTCAATCTGTCACTGACTTTTTAAACCAATTTAATTACAAACTCATGGAATGGCTGAGGTGCCCCTGAGGAGAGGAACTGAAGCGGCGTTCATCTAGCCACCCAACTAGATATCAATAACTTTTTAGAAAACAGAAGAAATTATTACTAGTTTTTATTGTGTTACTCTTAATTTGCACATATTCTAATGTTAAATTGTGTTTTTTGTTCTAAGCCAAAGTACACTTGCTACCCAGATAAACAGCTTTAAACATTTCTTTGGACTGCCTAAGACTTTTGCACATTACTGTATTTTAGCAGAATGTGTGTTTCTCCGTGCATATTAGACACACATTAATGCATGTACTCTCAACTAGGGCAAACCCTAAAAAGAAGCATCACAAAGTTTCACCTACAACACCTGGGGGTCCGTCCACTTGGTGAGACAGAGCTCCTCAATGAGCTCATCCTCGTCCAGGATCTTGAGCAGACACTCCTTGAAGACTTTGATGTCCGTCTCCAGCTCTGACAGGCTGGGGCAGAGAGCCGGCAGTCAGACCACACGCCCAATTACCAACGTCAGCTTCACACGTACAGCACACAATGCTGAGACTGAGAAGCAGGCGTGAGCGCTGGTCACCTTTTGCTGTTCTGCAGGAGAATGTGCAGCTGGCTGCGATCTGCAGAGAGAAGCTTCGGATCCACTAGGGACTCAAGCGTGTCCAGGATAAGTGGCTGTACCTCATTCAGCCGGGTCTGCAGGTTATTCAGCTGCGGATAAAAAGAACCATGATTCTTCTCCTGGCATCAAGCACAATCCTTGATAATAAAGATCTTAATTATGTTTATTTACACATAAGCTCTGAAACTACAGCAAACCGAAAAGCATAAAAGCACATTTTTTTGTGTAGAAAGTCTGAGATGAACCACCTGAAGCTAAGCAGGTTTGGGCCCATTCAGTTTTGGGGTGGGGAGACCAACTAGGAAAGCTGGGCTGCTGCTGGAAGAGGTGTTGGTGTAGCCAATAGCGGAGCCCATCCTGTGGTCTGTGTGGATCCCAGTGCCCCAGTGCGGAGACAGAGACACTACGCTGTGAAAATGGTGCTGTCCTTTGGATGAGACGTAAAACTGAGCTCCTGACTCTCTGAGGTCATAAAAGATCCCAGGGCATCTTTTGAAAGAGTAGGGATGGTGTCCCTACTCTTTCCTGTCCTGGCTAAAATTGTCCACTGTGGCTCTATCAAATCTGGCCTCCCAATCATACCCTATATCTAATTGGTGAATTTTCCCCTGGCCCTTCACCACCTTAGCTACTGTGTGGTGAGCGTACTGGTGCAGAATAGCTACTGTCGCATCATCCAGGTGGGGGCAACACAGGGGTGATGGTTGAAGTGGCTCCCCATTGATTCTGTAAAGCTCTTTGGGTGTCTTGAACAGCACTACATAAAATCTATCTATCTATATATCTATCATTCAAATACAAAAAGCATCTGGTTGTAATTAGGTAAATAAGATGAGGGCCTCACTCGATGCTGTAGTATAGCTTCAATGACTCTGAATTCGAAAGGCAAAGAGTAGGTGGCCAGAGGTCCGTCTCCCGCCAGTTGCGGAGCCAATTCATAGAGCAGCCAGCGTTCCAGCCCCAAACCACGGAAGTCCAGGATCAGCAGGACTTGCGGCGTCACCACGGCCTTCAGAGACTGTGGACCAAACAGATATAAGCAGCCGAAGATCTCAATACACAAACGAGGTCAGTCAGACACCACTCTGAAAACGGCGCCCAGGTGGGAGCAGGGCTCCAGGGGGCATGTCTGACCTCCATGCGCATGATGATGAGGTTGTTCCTCCCAGTGATGCTGGTGGTGTGCTGAAACCGCAGGTCTCGTGCTTGCAGGCCAAGGTCCTGGTACAGTTCTGTCTTTTTCTTCTCTGAAATACAGCCAGTGAGAGGACAATCAAATCTTTTGCAAAGGCTCTGTGCAGTCTACTGTATGCAAAATGTTAAAGTCTGATTGCAAGGCCATTTATGTGCCAACTTAAAATGGTGTATAAGTAAATTTTGGTGGCAATAACACAAAAATTGACCTCCACACACCAAATGAAGTCACATTCCCTTCCGTGTCAAATTTCATCTGCAAACAAAAAGAAAGACAACGTGGACACAATCACCAAGTTTAATAAAAAATTATAGTAATTTCTATGTGTGAGATTACAGCCATCTTGCAACTGCCAGCCAAATGTATTGGGGGAATGTCAATTAGCCTATACAGTATGTAAGTTTTTGGACTACAGCAGAAAATCCGCACAACACAGGAAGAACACACAGCACAGGGGTGAGGTTTAAATCCCCAACAATGGAAACATGAGACAACGGTGATGCTCAGTCAAACGTGTAAATAATATATATTGAGGTCAATATAAAGTTCATTGAGACTTACAACTGAAAACACGGGTACCACGCTTGACAGGGCAGCCTGTGACGTCTCCATTACTCTATGGCGACAGAAGACAACTGACAAAAGAAATAGATAATGTGCTTTTAAAAACAGAATAACATGTATTCATGCAACAGGCAAACCGCGATGATACCGCTCCATGACACGACTTTTAGAGAGGCAACCTCCACTTAAACAAGCGCCTAGAACCCAATTACCAAGCATGGGAGACTCTGAAATGCCAGCATGGATAGCATGAAGCATGCAGTATTAATCCAAACAGACATACTGTTGGGACTCGACCTCCGCCAATGGCAGCACCGGTGAGCGACCCAGTCTGTCCGACGCCGCAGGAAGCCGAGGCTCCGCGTGCATGGATGTCTACGGACGGGGCAGGGGGCGAGAAGTGCGGCGGAGACCACGACTCCTCGATCCAGTGTCCTCCATAGACAACTCCGAGAGAGCAGCCTGGAGCACACTTCCATTTGGACAAACTGCTTGAATTAATCGGTTCAACGGGCTTAACCCAAGTTCCTAAGACTTTGTAAACTACGATAATCAAGAGCTACAGCACTCCCTAGACTTTTTAAAGAACAGCTCCGCGACACGCGTTGACCCTGACCATGAGCAGTCAGCAGTTGCGCAGACGTGACAGTATCACCACACGCCTGCCTTTTCCTGCCAAACCGCCCGCTTAACAAGCCGGAGAGGCGAAGAGGACAGACCAGACCAACTGACCCAGCCAGCACCTTCGGCAGACCGGCTACCCAGTCGCTGACTACCCGTACCCAACATGCACCGCGCGGCCCGACAAATTCCTTCATCATCAACTGTCCCCATGAAACGTTAAACGTTTAAGATCAGTTCCGCCCTGTCACCGTTTTTTTCTTTCTTTTATAATCTCTGTTATATAAGAGATACTATTAAAATAACATGGCATAATGTGCCTGATTCGTTTTTTATTTATTCACTACGCGTAAAATTATATGTACATATTTATAGCCGGCGTGTCATTAAACGTATTAGGTAGAGTTACGTCACCCATCGCTGGACTGTGAGCGCTAGTTCAGGTCATGGAGCCGCTTCGAGCCCGGAAGATCTCCTGCACCCGTTTCTAAAGTGTTTCTTCCCCTCATATAGACACCCAATGTTGAGTATCGGAGACGCCAACTCCGCCGATTCGTCCCGCTGCTAGCAGACCAGGTGCGGCATGTTCCAGAAGACCTCCTTCACCACCCTGATCGTCGGCGTGTTCGTCGTCTACGTGCTCCACACCTGCTGGGTCATGTACGGCATCGTGTACACCAAGCCGTGCGATCAACCCAGGGCCGAAGGCTGCATCGGCTCTTACCTCGCAGACAAGCCTCGGCTTCAGGTAGGTGATAGCGCTGTTGAATCGTTGTGATGATGCATCAGTGTGGACTTCTCTGCCTGTTTGCCATTTAAAACCCAGTGCCGCTTTTTCCAGCCGCTCGCATGCATATTATTCATAGATTAGGACACGTCGCCCCGGTTCAATCGGTTTAGCTGACAGCCTTTTCATAAAGAGAGTGATCGGGGAGCTTATTGAATTCACTTTGAATTATACAGCTGAGCATCTACACGACGCTGAAGCCGAATGGAAATGGCGGACAAAATCTCATTCTTAAGGTCGACGACTTTGATATCAATTCCAAGTTTGAGAGGTAAGCTTGTTTGGCATTCGTCAGCCTCCCACGTGGAAGAGAGCCTCTAGATGTGCGAGGAGAAACCACAAACGCTTAGGACTACAGACCAACCTTTGATAGATTATCTATACAAACTTTAGAAAAGCTGACATCAAGCTGTCACTGGTTTCAAATGAAGTATGGCGGTTTCATCAATTAAGTTTTGATTCTCGGTATTTTGTGTAATTATGCATAAAAATATTTTTAAAGTTTTCAGTATATGTCATTGCTGTTCTGTATTTAAAGGAAAATTAACGTATCCCTACCAAAGAAAACGCGAAACAACGGGACTCTGTACACGCTGGTGTTCGTGCACCAGGCAGGCGTGTCACCCTGGCAGGACAGTCGGCAGGTGCACCATGTCACCCAACTCACCACCTACATGCTTCCCAAACCCCCAGAGGTCAGCCTTATCTCTGGGCAGGAGGACCAGCAGGTGAGTTGCTTTCTGTCCCAGTATCTCCTAAGCCTGGTTTCTGAACAAGTTTTGTCTGTCTAACCCAGGAGACAATAAAATCTGCCGACTGGGGGTGGGGGTCCTCTTGTGTTAAAATACACCAACCAATGGGAATTCAGGCTCTTGGTGTCAATTGTGCAGTCCGGGTTCAGTTGTATTTTGGATAAGTACCGGTTGGTCAACGTGGTGTCTTAGTTATGTTATTCGGGTGATTGTTCCATCATCCACCTTAAAATCCGGTTCCTTCACCTGTTACTCCAGCCACCAGAGCAGCAGAAACGGGTCAGTGATGGTCCCACGAACAAGCCCGTGTCGCACTGGCGCTCTCGCCTGACCCTGAACATCGTGTCTGAGGACTTCATATTTGACAGGGAGGCCATTCCCAGCGATGTGCACCGCTACTTGAGAGTGTAGGACCCCTGCGCCGTAACCGCCATGTCAGAGTGAAAGCCCGGTATGCTACGGGTTCTCACCCATGCTGATTGTTTTGTAGGATCCAGAACGGAAAGAAGATGGTCTATCTTCCACTTTTATTTGTAGATGAGCTTAGTAATAGAGTGAAGGACCTAATGGTAAGTTCTGTTCAGTTTTTATTTATGTAGTATGTCATGTACCTTTATCTGGTGTTTATAAATGAATGCTGCCCAGGGGGTGCCGTAAAGTGGGCGACAGACAGGACGATTGTAGGGGCCCTAAAAATTTGGAAGATAGTTGGTCGGGGTTGAGGGCCCAAAATCTCTAACGACACCCCTGATGCCACCAGTTCTGTTTATTTTACCAAAGAATGTGTTTATTGTATATTCACAAAAAGTATAGCAAGAAGGATTGTGGATAGAGAATCTCTGAGCAGATTGCTTATATTAGCTAGTATTCATGATGGCTGTAGTTCCTTCACACTGTAAGCAGAATATTGTCCATTAAATTATTTTGCTATATAGTATTAGTTTATAGTATAGTTAGTTATTAGTTCTAGTATTGTTTTCTAATGCATCCTGAATGAAATAGCACTGCGTGAATGTTTGTCCACTTTGTGTGTGTGTCTGTGTTAGGCTCAGAGGCCCTTGTGAGTACCATGCTGTACAAGTAATTTGAAGTGGTCAGTAAGACTAATGAGGTCACATGACTGTGTTGCAGGAAATCAACAGTAGCACCATTGAACTCCCGCTCACCATATCGTATGACACCATTTCCCTGGGGAAACTGCGCTTCTGGATCCACATGCAGGATGCAGTGTACTCCCTGCAGCAGTTTGGTAAAGCTGAGATTGCTCTGTTGAGCAGCTAAATGTGAACACAGGCTGTGTTTCGCCTGCAGGGTTTTGTGTTGGATCCTGCAGGAGATGATCATGGTATTGGTTGTAGTTAAGCATTAACGACCATCTCTGTGGTGATGCCTTTGCTTGGGGATTATGGCTGAAGTAGAGGTAGGTTTGGCAAAGACTCATGGAAACGTAACATGTGGCTTTGCAGTACTGAAGTTCTCGCTTCCTCTTCTAGGGTTCACTGAAAAAGATGCAGATGAAATCAAGGGGATTTTTGTGGACACAAACCTGTACTTCTTAGCTTTAACCTTCTTTGTGGCTGCGTTCCATGTGAGTGATTTCGGTTTCTCCCTCAGTAAAACTTTCATGATGGCAGACACACGTCACCATTTTTTTTTTTGCTAGTTAATTTCTGAAATCCAGCACAGCAATACGTGCAGAGCTTATGCTCTGCTTCAAAAATAAAGACATTTTAAGCATCCTCATCGTTTTTTGGCTTGCAGCTCCTTTTCGACTTCCTGGCTTTCAAAAATGACATCAGCTTTTGGAAGAAGAAGAAGAGCATGGTGGGCATGTCCAGCAAAGCAGGTAGGGTGAGGTGGGGGCCGCAGGCCGCAGGAACATGGGGGGGTGGGTGGGGGGACAAACTGGCTCGGGCACTTTGGAAACAGACTTGTACCATATTTTAAAATCTATTTCCTAATGCCAGGAAGAGCCAGTTTAATTTTGGAAATGTATTGGAAATTTGTGACTTAGGAATGAAATTTAATTATATTCCAACTACAGAAAACACAGGAAGAGCCCTGTATGGACAGTGGTTAGATTTAAGGCTGGGATTTAGTTGGTAATCATGTGATTTATTATGTGTGCCTTTCTCTGTGTGATTTGTTGCAATTCACTGCATACATAAGTGTTTATTTAAGCTGATATTTGATTTGGCTGGCAGATTTAATATTTAAGTCTTACTTTAATCATTTTTTTGGTTTTGTTTCAGTTCTCTGGCGATGCTTCAGCACCATTGTGATATTTCTGTACTTGCTGGATGAACAGACAAGCCTCCTCGTTCTCATCCCTGCTGGTATAGGTTCCATCATTGAGGTACACCTCTGTCACCCCTTGTTCATTGTTTGATAATCTGTTGTTGTCATGTCTGAATGAGTCCATTTGTCATGTTTGAGGTCCCTGGGTGGACTGCACTACTTAAATCCTCCTTTCCCCAGGTTTGGAAGGTGAAGAAGGCCTTCAAGATACAGGTTTTTTGGAACGGCATAAAGCCCTGCTTCCTGGTGAGTGTAAAATTCAGGAGCCTGTTTGCTGTTGGGCCAACCTCACTGCCCCAACACCAAAAATGCTGCCTCGGTGGCGTGAACGCATATCCTTCTGGGAAATAAGGAGTGAAGCATGTATGCTGGGAGACTTGTACCATAATAAGTCGTCTTTCCATAGTTTGGGAAGCTGGATGAGTCTGAGAAGCGAACAGAAGAGTATGATGCTCAGGTGAGGAAAAATAACTCAATTCCCAATGAAAATAAAAACCTCAGCCTCACAGAAATGAAGACCATCAACAGTAACTTCCCATAAACACATGCACCATTTTCTTTGCAATTTTTTATTATTATTATTGAAGTCTGTTTCCCTGTGGTGCCTGATGACAGTGACCGGTGATGACATCATCCTTTTCCCATCTTCTCATTGGCAGGCGATGAAGTACCTCTCGTATCTTTTGTACCCTTTGTGTATCGGGGGAGCCGCTTATGCCTTGGTATATGTCAAGTACAAAAGGTAAAATTACACACTGATGTCTGCCTTTTGTCTGTGTTTTATAATTATGACATTGTTTTCCATCCATCCATTCATTGGACCCAGTTCCTGGCAGCATAGAGAATACCCCTGACACTGCTCTTTTTTTTTTGTAACAGTTGGTATTCCTGGTTGATCAACAGTCTTGTCAATGGTGAGGCCAAATTTCCATAACATTCAAAATGTCGCCTAGCGATTCAGTGAGCGGTGATGGATTTCGGTGATCTGCTGGCGCCATGGTAACTTCCTGCTTCCTGTTCACAGGGGTTTATGCCTTTGGGTTTCTCTTCATGCTTCCCCAACTTTTCGTCAATTACAAGGTATGAGCCGCAGATCCCCAAAGTCGCCTCAACACCACACCTCTGTGCTGCATTTCTTTGTTGATGGTGCTTCTGGTCTTACTGTGTTTTCAGCTGAAATCGGTGGCACATTTACCTTGGAAGGCGTTCATGTATAAGGTGAGTGTATGTGACGTTTGGCCTTTTCTGGCATAGTTCAATGTCATGAAAGATGGACAGAATACCTTACCCTTCCGATGATAATAGCGAATGGCGCTTGGTTCCCTCTGTTTCCCAGGCGTTCAACACCTTCATCGACGATGTCTTCGCCTTCATCATCACCATGCCCACATCCCACCGGCTAGCCTGCTTCCGGGATGATGTAGTGTTCCTCATCTATCTGTATCAGCGATGGTAAGCGACAGTGATGTCCCAGGCCAATATCTAAGATCAGATGAATTTAGTTTCCATCCACCGAATTTATGTCAGCTGTGCAGATCGTAAGCTTTCCATCACACGCTAAAGTAAGTGGCTTGAAACTGCAAACTATCAAGATGTCTCCCGTATGGAAATTCTTTACAATGGAAACTCAAAGAAGCTCAGCAGCTACTTGCGATGTTTGTGACGCCATCCTTTCTAGAGGAGGTAGCAACAGAGTGTTGTTGTTTTTTTATACATTGAAAGACACATAAGGAAACATCATAAGGAGGAATGCTATGAAATTACAAGGTTATGGAGACGGAGATTGCAGACGCCTACTTAATGTTTATTTAAATATTTAACAAAAGATCGGATTGGGATTTGGAATCGACATTCGGTCAGCCTTGCTACAACACTTGATATCACACTGTGAATCTAATGTGATTGTTTTGGGCTTGGATACTGATATATCAATGCGTAATCACATTTGTATTTGCACGATTTTCCAATAAGAGAAAAAACTGCTATCGCAGTTGAACGACAGTGATGTTCAGTTCGTGAAGGAATCGCGCTACCGAACCGATTCTTTTTACTCAGTCAAACCGGTTTTCATCTATTCTGCTTAAGTATCACATATGGCACAGCACTGAATAGATACTATGGTCAAAAGATAATTTGCCATCATTTTTAACATAGCTTTTAAAGGTGCCATTAAATGAAAATAGCTGAATAAGGAGAGTTCGGTACATGCCATGAATTTCAAACACCATTGTTACCTTTTTCAAATATAAATCCCACATATGTGAAAGAAGGTGGTAAAACAGCCTAATCCAAAAATTCTAGATTATGTAACAGTCTTAACTACTAAATTACAGCCTGAGCACATAAAGTCTGTTGGCATTTTAAGCATTAAATGAGGTCAATTCCCTGGCTTAGGTTTACTCATAACTTACCGGCGTAAAATTCAGCAAGGAGATGCTCCTTCTGCACTAACGCTGAGAGGCCACCATTTTTGCATTTTTGCTTTGCATAGACTGGCCATGTTGCCTTCAGTGCCCCTCCTTCATGTGCAGTGCTCATGCCCGGCCACACGGTGCCCCTCGGCACACCGTTACCCGTTGTATTTGTGCAGTGCTCATGCCCGGCCACACGGTGCCCCTCCGCACACCGTTACCCGTTGTATTTGTGCAGTGCTCATGCCCGGCCACACGGTGCCCCTCCGCACACAGTTATCCGTTGTATTTGTGCAGTGCTCATGCCCGGCCACACGGTGGCTGTGGCTCACTATTTCCGATTCTCATACATTGACAAGTTTGTGAGTTCAGCATATTCGACTGAAGTGGTTACTAGGCAATTCTCATGAGACCTATCAAAGATATTTAAGATGTAATTTTTCCATGTATTATTATTTCTTATTTAATATGCATATGATTACATTATTGGCCACTGGTACCACTTTTTATTATTAAATTTTATTTGGCCTAAGTTACTAAGTTTTGGAGTTGCATTCCCCTAACCCTGTTTTCCTTATTGGATATGTGTATTTTAATATGCGATTTTAGTGAATTCAAGGCTTTTCAGGAATGCATTAGTCACATTGTAGCAGGACTGTAGATACCCTGATCCGATCCATTCAATATGTATCAAAAAAGGTGGATCAGGACATCCTTAGTAAGTTTGTGTCCATAGGGTTATCAAAGAGGAGATGATGACCTTCACCAGGTACTTACTATATGTCTACCTTGGGTTGAGAGAGATGGCGGAAATGTGACATTTGCACGCCATTCTATGGGTCACAAAAGAATATACAGGTTCGGGCGGAAGAATATTTCTGTTTAGTCCATAGAGCTTTAAAAGCAAAAGAAGTTCTGAGGAATTTTTATAGACCATCCTTCAGCATTTTTGAAAAATTTTTAATAGGTGCATAAATGTATATCATTGTTAAAATAGACACCGGAGACTCGCTTGTATTGTAAACCAAGATGGTTGCTTGATGCCCTGTCATCTCAGCTGAAATCCTTCTTCTTTCCCAAAGGCTGTACCCTGTAGATAAGAGCAGAGTCAACGAATACGGGGTGTCGTACGACGAGAAGCCACCAGCGAAGGAGCACGAGGACTAAAGTCCCAGGCGGCGGATGGGACCGGACCGGACCAATGAAATCGCACGAAATATTTGGCGCCCTGTAGCCTACAGGGAGGCAGCATCAGACGCCGGCAGGACAATGTGAGCTGACTCACCACTGCTGACGCATCCAATGAGATTTCTGCCCCGCCTCCCCCCCCCCTCCTGACACACACACACACACACTTTCCCCTCCATCAGCGTTTGCATGGGGGCGCTAGCGCTCCCGTCAGCTCAGTATCGCTTTGCTCAGGACTGACTGCTTGCAGCAAGCTTGGCCGTGGCCTGCAGAAGCATGAGTCCATTTCTGGCTGCATTTGCTTGTCTCCCCCAGCGTGAGGCGCTCATTAGTGAACACACTTCCTTCTCGAGTTCTCGAATGAGCTTAATTTCCCTCACCTGCTCTGTGGGAATGGTTCCATGTTCTTGTGTTGTTTTTTTTTTTTTTAATTACAATTATTTCTTTGCTTTGACCATTTTAAAAAGGAATTGTGTGCCAAACCCATTCTGGGATATGTGATAACCATTGTTTCATGGTTGTTTTGAAAACAACATGTTATTGAAGGTGAGTTATCCAGAACCTACCACTGACCATTTCCAGTCATTCCTTTGCTGGTAGCTAATGTTTTGGTGTCGCTGAAAAAGCCAGGAACATGGCGACATGACGACAACGATGATGATTACAAAAACAAAGATGGCATTACTGAAGTTTTTCCAAGGACCAGTCTACTGAAAATTCCCCTTGTCTGTAATTAATTCATGTGTGTTTAAATTTAGCTTTTTACATACTGTAATTTTCCTGGAAAATAAAACATTGTGTTGTATACAAAGGGCTGAGAACTCTGTGTTCGGATGGTTAGAAAGCAGCCAATGGCTATGAAACTCAGTGACGCAGAGGAGCCGATGGACAGGAATTTGCATTTTATTAATAGGACAGTAAATTTCCCCTTTCGAACCCGAAGTGAACAGCTACAAAAACCACTGCCCAGTCTAATCTGTAGTGGCACCTGGAAGTCACTGATCTCTGCAGGCACAAACGTTAAAACAGGATTTGTTCCACTGAGCATTATGGAAGGTAGGATTTCCAAACCACACATAGTGTATCTCTATGTACCATGTAATGGACTGGCATCCTGCCCAGTGTGTCCCCTGTCTGTGGAATCATCTCCACGGTTACTGAGACTATTCTGCACTCACTTAACAGTCTGCATTTCAGCAGGCAGATAACTCGTCTGCACACTTCAATTTCAAGAGATTTATTGTCCTTTCAGCCGAGAGTGCACCAGGAAGAGAGTAAAACTATAATGTGGAAATATGCATAATCACCTGAATATTAAACTATGGAGTGATAGGAGTGCAATAATAGAGAATACATCTGGGGCCTATTTCATGAAGCAGGAATTTTTGCTCAGCCAGAGAACCTGTAAGATTTAAGGTGGTCTGGGCTAAATGGACTTTATCTTCGTCCACTTACATTTAGCCCAGACTACCTTAAATTCAACAAGTTTTCCAACTAAGAAAGAAATCCTGCTTTGTGAAACAGGTCCCTGTAAAAGAACAAAAAAATTAATATTGATTAAGAATGTAAAATAAATGCACTTTTCTCATTTGATTTCTCAGTTCTTTTAAGGTCAAGACTTACTTCCAAGCCCATATCACCGGTGTGCTTATACATTTTCTTCAGTTTTCAGCAGTCTGGAAAAAGATAGCTGCGATTTCTTGTTAAATTGCTTTTGCAGTCAATCACACGACAGCTCTTTCCCATTTTTGGTGTGTTTTTTCGTAGCATTCAAGCACTAACACTGCCACAGTCTTTTTGCCGTTCAGTGGGTATAACTAGCCTGCTGTGACATCATGTGCATACCCCCCCATATTTAAATACGCTTGGGGTGCGTTTCCCAAACTATAACAGAAGTTAGCATTAACGATGCATCATACTATGTTAGTTCAAGCTAACTAACATCCGAAGTATGACTGTTTCCCAAAACCGTCATACTTTGTTAGCACCACAGTAGCTTAAACTACGTTGGTTTGAACCACCATAGATTGAACTGCAATGGTTCCTGAGGTGATTGGTCTGACTCTCACGCCGTGTGGCGCGCAAAAACTCACAAACTTTATAATATTTCTAAATACAACAGTTGTGCCGATATTACATTATTAATTTATTATATCAGTCATATAGCAGCAAAAATAATATTAAAAACTCAAAAATAGCAATAGCGTCACAACAACATGATACTTGTATGATGCTGCTCACTAATCATCACCTCTCTTCTTAAACTAACTTCCACTACTCATTCCCATATCTTCAGGCTGTGGCTCATCAACTTTATCCCTCTGTAGTTACTACAGCTCTGCACAATCTCCCTGATTCTTGAAAATCGGTACCCGTAAACTTCATCTCCACTCCTCAGGCAAAGTGATGCCTGGTAGTTGGTGTGAAAGAGGAAGATGCAGAGGACAAGAAAAGGAAACAGATGATCTGCCGTGGCGACCCCTAACAGGAGCCGCTGAAAGAAGAAGAAGAAGTGAGACCAGCTACATTATATGGGTTAGAGATGGTGGCATTGATGAAAAGACAGGAGGCAGAGTTAAAAGATGTTAAGATTTGCGATTGGAGGGATGAGGATGGACAGTATTTGCAATGAGTATATTAGAGGGACAGCTCAGGTTGGACAGTTTGGAGACAAAGCCAGATATGCAAGATGCGTTGGTTTGGACATGTACAGAGGAGGGATGCGGGGTATGTGGGGCAAAGGATGCAGAAGATAGAGCTGCCAGGCAAGAGGAAAAGAGGAAGGTCTAAGAGGAGGTTTACGGATGTAGTGAGAGAGGGCATGCAGGTGTTTGCTGTGAAAGAGGAAGATGCAGAGGACAGGAAAAGGAAACAGATGATCTGCTGTGGTGATCAGGAAGAGGAAGAGAACTCATATGATGCTTCTTGTAGAGAAAAAGTACTATTCAAGTCAAGTAGGTTTATTTGTCATTTCAGCCATATATGCAGCACACAGTGAAACGAAACGTTCTCCAAAACCAAGATGCACAAAAAAACAAAAGGACAGAAACACAGGACTTCAAAACTGCAATTTACGAGACAAGACATACAGTGCAGTCGACAAAGTAGTAACTGTGCTGGTTTGAATGGATATTTGAATAAATAGTATTATTACAGATACAGTATTATAACATACAGTATACTGTTTTCTAGCAGCAAGAAAGCAATAAATAAAAATGCAAACAATAGTAGCAGCTGGACAGAGAGTGTGCAGTACATAATAGATGGTATATGCACTACATAATAGATGGTATATGCACTACATAATAGATGGTATATGCACTACATAATAGATGGTATATGCACTACAGTTCGTGATTCAATTCTGAGTCAAAAGTCTGAAGGCCTGAGGGAAGAAATTGTGGCTATTAGGCTACAATGCATTTAGTGAAATCGGCTCTATCTGTAATTACATTTATTTAACTATTTTTATTTTATTTTAATCACACTCTAAACATTTATAAATTCTTGATCCCTTACTGTCTGTACAGTCTATTAGTGGATCAGTGGGACTGACAGGTGCGCATAGCGCCCGCCATGATATGCCAGATTTCTATGAGGCTGAATTATTATTAGCAGCTCCTTAAATGCTGGAGTGAAACTGCACCCTACATCCTTCCCCACTTTACATGATGGCTTTTTCTTGCTCTTGCCAGGTGCCTGTCTGTTTCTGTCTGGTTTCAGTGTGGCAAACTTTGATGAAGACGCAGTCACCCGGAAGAAACTGTCATACTCTCGCCTTCAAAGCAGAGTATTTCTTCTGCAGTTCCTTGGAACAGCTGGAAAACAGCCTATCCTGCTCACATGCATGAGTGAGACTGTCCTGTAACAAGTCAGCATGCTCGCAAGGCGCAATGAATGCAGGTTTTTGCTGCTACTCCCTAATTAGGTCACTAGGCTGAAGAGTCCTCACACCTGGGTTTGAACAGCTGACCTTAAGGTTATCCCAAAAACCTGCATACACACCGGCCCTTTGCGGATAAGATTGGCCACCCCGATCTAGAGCATCTTCCACCTCCTTATAGTCCATGCATATTAGAGCCATCTTTTTTTGTAATTACAATAGGTGTGGCATATGCACTGTTGCTAGGACGTATTACATCTGACTCCTCCATCTCTGCGATGGCCTTTCTCAACGCTTGGTACTGGGAGGATGGAATCTTTCTGTGTGGCAGACGGAATGGCTTTGGGTCAACTAGGGGAATCTCATGTTTAACAGTTGTAGTGCGCCCATAGTGAGGAGAATGTTTGGAGAACACACCACTGTTGTGCTGTATAAGGGATATCAGCTGTGAGCGCTGATCCTCTGTTTGGAAACTAGTATCTCTCAAGTTCAGGAGAGACAAGATGTCCTGCTCAGTTCATTTGGCATTGGCTTGGTCTGCAACTGGGCAAACATGATATAATTGGGCTTGATGTTTGTGGGTGTCCTGCAGACATCCATGTTGCTGAACAGGCTTTTCAGATACGACCTCTGTCACATTCTCCACGAGGAACACTTACACGAGCCGGGTTTTAAGTTTGATTTTCAATGGCTTTCTTAACAGGTTCACTACTTGAACAGGAACAAAGCCTTTCTTTATGTTTTCCAGAACTTGAGCAATCACTCAACCAACCACTGACACATACGGTCAGTTTAAGAACTCTAGTTCTTTTAAGTTGCATGTTTCTGGACAGTGTAAGGAAACCGGAGGATCTGCAGAAAAGTCACCAAGCAGGAAGAACATGCAAACTCCACACACACACAATGCGGCAGTATGCGGCAATAATGCGACGTACCACGCCATTCTAACGCCCTGACAGGCTTGCATGATGCGTGATATTAATATCAACATGGCATTGCGTGCACATGCAACTGTCACATCTCAAGGATCACGATAATCTCCTGGGTTCAAGCTTCAATAATTTGCACTAAAACTTTTTTTTTTTTAACTCACTGGAACGAAACTTAGTTAACTTTATTTGTTTTTAATGATGGATCCATTTGATTATGTAGTATATGTAAAAACAGACAAATAAGTAAAATCAGTCTTAAGTTTACCGCCGCTGTTTTTGCACGAGCTCTGCCTGAGCATTATGGGTTTCCAACTCTCACGTATCAGGTGTGACAATCAGCTTTACGACTCGCTCACGCAAGACATCTTATGGCAAATCCATATTATTCCATTATAAACCTAAATGCGTGTGCAGAATTGTCTCGCTTTGAAAATCTCATGCCAGCCAACTGACCAATATTGGCAACCCTGTATTATGCAAGATGATGTGGATATAAGTAACGGGCTGACCTTCGTCTTCGCAGCGATTATTTTGACATACAGGAAACATAGAAACTGCGTTAAACAAAATAATTTAAGACAAAGACACAACGAACAGGTGACTCAATTAGAATGAATGACGCAACCGAATGTCTAACCTGCCTTTAGCGCCGAGGTGGTTAAAATGGTACGGTCCACATTAGGGGTGTTTGAAATCGTTTTACATAAAATTTTCCTACAAGGTGAGGTTCTCTTTTTTTTTTTTTTTTTTTACAACAAACAAAAAATGGCAGTACCCTCCCAAACTGCTATTTTTGTCTCTTTGGGGGGGTCTGGGTCTTGATCGGGGGGTACAGTACCCCCCGTAATTCGAACCATGGTTTTAACATTGTGGGGACCATTTTTCCAGTCCCCAGAAAGATCTGAGAATGCAGTCAAAAAAACTAAAAATGACAAAAGTCTTATATTTTGTTTGGTTACTTATGGTTAAGGTTAGGGCTGGGTAGGGGTTAAGGTTGTTATGTTGGGATTAGAGTTTTCCCCATAGAAATGAATGGGGAGTGTCATATGGTGCATATGGAATGAAGGTGACGAAGCAAGAAATTAACAGGAACAACGGGAGTGAGACATGGAACAATCACCCAGTAAGAGAGGGTGCAGGACAACAAGCAATCAGGTAAAACAATCAACAAGCGCTGGCAAGAAAACGGGTAACAGGTAAAACTGATAATAATTAACGTACACAGGGACCTTAATACCAAAAACTAGGAACATTAACTACATACTGGGAATTAAACACTAGGAATAGAATGCAAGGATAATTAGACAGAACCAGAATGGAACAGAACAGAAAGCAAGAAGGGAAAACCTAGGGCAGGAAAACTAATGTAGAAAATAAACACTGGGAAACAAAAAGAAGAAATACAAATAAACAGATGAGGGTGGCCAGCCTCACACCCATGAGCAAGGGATACCCCTCTGAGAGCCACACATTCCACCTGCTGAGCCATGCAGCAGTCTGGGGAAAGGAAAGAGCACAATAGGCTGAAAGACCAGAGACAGGGAGGAGAACAGGATGGCCAGCGACACCTGCTGGCCAAGCGGGGAGGAGACACAAAGGGCAGGCAGGACAGGCAAGGCCCTGGCAGGAGAGTCCCCACAAAGATATAAAGATATGTTTCTATGCTTGATTATTAAAACACAATATAAAGGGAGGAAATGTGCTGATTTCAGCAAGTTTCTAAGGCTGAAAGAGGAACCTGCCTTGACTGTGGGTGCAGAGGAAAGGATTGTCTGAGAGTATAAAAGTCAAGCATTGTCACATAGATGGCGCACATCCTATGACCTGAGAGCTTGTAATGCCGTGATAAGATCTGGTGGAGCAAGTTGCCAATAATAAATTTCCTTCTTACTGTCTCCTAGACTGCTTCAGGCGTATTTTCATAGGAATAAGTCACCTTGTGTCTGACAGGGAGTCACTCTGAGTGTGAGCAGCACCTACTACGAAACATGAGGACTCTGCTGATTCTCCTGCTGCTTTGCTGGGTCAGTTCCGCAGGTACGTCCCATTTCTTTGTCTAGAATTTAAGTTCATTTGTAAGCACCAGAGTGGTTTTGTATTGTAGGCAATTAATACTTTAGAAACTTTACAGCTATGGAATGTAATCTGAAAGCTCAGTTCATAGTTGGAAATAATTTTTTCAGGCCTATCAATTCACTGTAGTTCCAAAACTGAAATGAACATGTGTAATATGGTGCACTTTTTTGCAAATAATAAAATTATCAGTCAATCATTATTTCAAAGTACATTACTCTGTCCATGGATTCATGGATATACAGTCATTGACAAAGGTCTTGTCACATAAGGACATAGTAACTTAAAAAGGCATATAACTTTATTTCTAATCAATCAATTGTTACAATGAATGGATCAATTTAATGCCAAGGGCTTTCACATTAATAACTGGGTGCAAAATGAAACAGTCGAAAAGTGTCCTGATGTTCACAGCTTGTTAAAGTCCATAACACCTGTTTTTGCAAGGACAAAAGTCTTGTCATGTCTTTTAATGATTCAACCAATCACAGGTTCAAATTCTTGGTGCAATCAGATAATGATCATTCTGAGCAGCTCCTAGAACATTGTCTGCATTGTGAAAACGGCTAAATTCAAAGCATTAAGAACATAAGAACATAAGAAATTTACAAACGAGAGGAGGCCATTCGGCCCATCAAGCTCGTTTGGGGAGAACTTAACTAATAGCTCAGAGTTGTTAA